AATCACACGTTTTTGTTCGGCTACACTTAACTTTCTTCCATCGTACCATTACACTAGCAAATATCACTCGTCAATTTAGGTGGTAGTAAGGCATACGTAACATATTTCCCAACCATCACATTCGATATTGTTGACTTGATCATTCTACGTAACGCGAAGAATAATTGTCTTTAATTTGGCTTTCATCCATTATTATTATTATTATTATTATTATTATTATTATTATTATTGATGCTAGTTTGTTTGTACGAGTCTATATTTCCTTATTTTGATATAAAAGACTGAAACGTGTACATCTCGAGTGGACTGCCTCGACATAACCGTTTAGTTACAATTATTTATTACACCTAGTTAATAGTTAGCAGTTAGATCCATGAACATATAGCTGATGAGTTCTAAATTGAACAAAACTGGCATCTATGATTCAACTAATTGCCATTATCTAATTCCAATATTATTTTTGTTTTCTTTATGTTTAAAACACAATTTATATGAACGAAGAATATTCTTTTCAATAATTCCTCATCAGGTTCTACAATTATCTCATATCCAAATGAATAATCCATAAAATTGGTCAGATTTAAGGCAGCGTACATCATTTGGCAATTGTAATATGTGAATTAAGAATTGTTGTTTGTTATATAAATCAATCATAACGTTGGAGCTGATTAATACGAAGTGTTAACTTGAATCAGTTTATAAGCGAAATGAAATTGTGAGATAAATCATGATCAGAATAAATATAGTCAACATGGGGTAGGAGAGAGAGAGAGAATATTGTGATTACAAATCGGAAATTGCGTAATATGTAAAATAATTAGGTCAAATATAGTCGATTCAGGGGTGGATATTGATTAAATTCCTCAAAAAGGGGTTATCAAGTGTAAAGACAATAATAGTAATAATAATGTAATAGTAATAATAATAATAATAAGTTTGGGACATAAAATGAACATTAATCAGATTACGTCACCACATTATAAGATTGATTATTAGCTAGTTGGCCAGGATAAAAGGAGTGACTGAACATACTTCTTTTGGATACAAAGCTCTGACTTTTTGATCCGAATAGCAATTACTTCAGCCGTCTGTAGGATTCGCAGTCTGACGGAATTAGGTAGACTGCTGTTGACACGATAGATTATTGCAAAAGATTGCTAAGGTTATCACTGGGGATTTCAATTATCCTGGGATCAACTGGAGTACCGGTAGTTGTCAGTCATGTAATGATGAGTTCTCGGCAACCATTAACATGCACTGCTGGTCACAGTGGGTTCGTGCCCCAACTAGAGGCGATAGTATACTCGATCTAATATTTAGTAGAGATGTTATCCCACTATCTGTAAAAGTATATGATGAATTTGAAAGCAGTGACCATAAGATAGTAGTTTGCGCTCTCCCTATCTATCTCTCTTATAACCCACCCATTCAAAAAACCTGTCAATATAGAGACTATAAGCATGCTGACTGGGACCTCCTGCATTCATTGATTAAACTTTCAGACTGGGATAACTTTTTTTCATGTAATAGTCTCATGGATGCTATCGACGAATTCTATCTGATCATTAACTCTTGTTTAGATTCCAGTGTACCTCTTAAAACGTACAGGTTTAGTAAACCTTACGAATTATATATACCAGCTAAATATCGTAATAAACTAAAACGCCTACAGAATCGTTATTTTAAGTCAAACGACTTCACAGCAGTTGCACAAATAACAATAATTTTTAATCAAATTAAAGAGAAACATAGGTTAAAAGCCATTAATGAGGAGCTGTTAGCCCTTAATACTAACTCGAAAGTACAAAACTTAACTCTCCTTTTCAATAAACGCACTAAAGCAACTCGAAATGTTGATATACCGTGCATCCAGCATAATAGCACTTTTATATACGACTCTAAAACCATGGCCGACCTTTTCAGTAGTATATTCGCGAATGGTGTAGAAAACATAAGTGGCTATGCTTCAAGAGTTATGTGCGTGACTAGCAACTCAATAAAATCTATCTCCTTCACATGCATGAAAATTAATAAGGCTATAAATACCCTTAAGCTTTCGAAAGGTCATGGAGTAGACGGGATTTCATCATTTCTCTACAAATATGGTGGTCCAGATATTCCACTTCTTCTTCTAAAGCTGTTTACTCTCTCTATGGAAACCGGTTCTTACCCTTACTGTTGGAAAACCGCGTACATCATACCACGTTACAAATCTGGAGATAAGACTGACATGAACAATTACCGGCCAATAAATATTACTCCAGTTATTTCTAGGATTATGGAAAAAATTATAAGTGATGAACTTTCCAACTATTTACTTGCTGGAAAATTTATCAATGATACTCAACATGGATTTCTTAAAAATCGTTCTTGCATGACATGTCATTTTGACTTCTTTAATTTAGTCTATTCTCTACGTAGCCAAGGATATCTAGTCTTAGTGCTATATCTGGACATTTCTAAAGCCTTTGACATGGTTAGCCACCAACTTCTTATAGGTAAGCTCGCATCTTATGGGGTTCAAAATCCTTTGCTTGCTTGGCTTGATTCCTTTCTCAGCAATCGACATCAAATAGTTAAAATTAACTCTTCATTGTCTAACGCTGTCCCTGTTAGAAGTGGTGTAATACAAGGTAGTGTCTTAGGTCCTTTGCTCTTTTTAGTGTTTATCAATGATATTTGTGAAAGTTTTTGTGTCGGTAAGCCCCTTCTATATGCAGATGATCTTAAAGTAGTATATTCATTTTCTCCACATGACCTGAAAAATATGCAAAATTGCATCAGCATGGAGCTTAACAAGGTAGCACAGTGGTGCTTAAAATGGCAACTGGAGCTTAATACGGCTAAATGTGGATGGATATGCTTCGGCGATACATCACTCAACCTAGACATTACCATAAATGGAGAAGTGTTATCTAGGTTACATACAGTAGTAGACTTAGGACTTAGATATTCCCAAGACTTGTCGTTTACAGAACATATATTAAAACAGACCTCTAAGTCTCAACGTCTAATAGGTTACATAACTCGAAATCTTTACAACACTGAGTCACGTATTCTAATGTACAAAGTTTGTGCTCGACCTCTTCTAGAATATTGCACGTTTATTCTTAGCAGTGCGCTCATAAAGGATAAATTAAGGCTGGAATCAGTACAGAGACGATTTACACTTCGTATTCTTGGAGCTGATTGTACCTTAACTTATAATTCTAGATGTAATAAACTTGGGCTAGACCCTTTATGGAGGAGGAGACTCAAACTAAATCTTATCTTTTTCTTCAAACTACTTCATAAACTATCGTTTACATCCGATCACGCGATTCAATATGCAGAAACCTCTCATTATGACATCCGTAATTCCTTGGCACTAGTGAAACAAACTCATTCTAAATCATCTCTTTATATGAATTACTTCACCTGTAAATTTTCTAGACTCTGGAATAACCTACCACAATCTATCCGCACGATAAAATCACTCCCATTATTTGTTCGCTGCATCGATGCATACTGCTCCTCTGAAAATGCATTGAATGGTCTAGCACCTTTAAGTGTATCTCATTCCACAAGTAATATTATAGGAACTTTAAATGTTTAGCCATTTTTATTAGTGAATTCCCTAAGTAAAACCACCTACTTGCTGTCACTTATGGTAACCCCGTCCCCAGAAACTTTAACTAATTTGAATAACATAAACAGCATATCACTGTGTCACATGACACACGCATTTTGGTAGACCTGATTGACATATTTTGGTAATTACTTTTTTGTTGTTCCGTGCTCTCTGTTTTCGTTTTAATTTCTCTAGTTGTAGATAATTATCATTATTTCGATCTGGCACACGAATTGACCTTAATTACACCGTTCATAAATCAACAGGCTGTCCATTTAAGAAATATTAAAAATTCCCGGATGAGGCATTGGATCGCTGTAATATATGTACTACTTAAACAACTACTGAACTAGTATACTTAAAACTTTCTTTTATCACATGTTTGTTCTGCACGTCTAATGTTATTATTTATATCAAATTGATCATGCCTGTAAACTGGCGTGAATTCTGTAATTGTTATTATTTTTCAGAATATTATTATTATTATTATTATTATTATTATTATTATTATTATTATTATTATTATTATGTCCTGTTTGGACTAAATGGTCTAAGATGGAACTGTTAACAGTTTTGACAACATCTTTGCTTAACCACACGGGTAGGTGCTCACGAGCCCGAATGTACAAATTCCTAGAACATCTGCCAATATGTTTATTTCTTTCAGTATTAGAATTATGAAATTTTACTCACATTACTTGAAGTATGGGCCTACACTTTCCCCTTCTAATTACTTTCATATTAAACTCATTAATTAGTTCATATTTTAATTAATAGAATAAAGTATAATAATAATGATCATTTTAATTAGTATCACTTTAGTTACAAATTCCAGTTAATCTTTACTTATCCTATAGAGTGGCTTTGTTATTATTCACGTTATATATTACATAACATTATGTATACATATTGTTTAAAGTTAGTAATGGGAACATCTGTTTAACATCTCATCTATGTATACGATTTCATAGGAGATACATTGAAAATGATTCTCTTTGTTGAATGGATTTTAGTAATCACTAATGACATGAAGGAATCAAATGGGTGCTGGTGGTGGTGGTGGTGGGGAGGGGTATATCCATAAACAGAATCATTAAATGTACATTTTAATTATTTTGTTTTTTAAAAACACACATCAATCCTGTTCACTTGGTATAAAATAAAAACCAGAAAAATAGTAACTATAATTAGTAAGTGGTAAACTGATTATGATAAGCGAATATAATGAACAAGTTAAATGTGGCTCAACAACAAGGATAACTTTGTAAACAAATGTATATATATATATATATATATATATATATATATATATATATATATATATATATATATATATATATATATATATATATATATATATATATATATATATATATAATCTCTGACTAACCTGTCACGTGGTTTCTGTCTATCTTCTAACACTTGTGGATCTATGAATAAAGAAATAAGTAAGTTTACAAATTATTTATCAATATTCACAATGTTTTAAAATTGTTGCTTATTTGTTTATCTACTACTTAATCTTTTCGGCTATTCACTAATGTAAACTGACACCATAAATTTACTTTAGGTAAACAATCATTGTAAACTAGAAAGTAGTGATAGTTGTTTCACCCTAGTATGGAATTTCTCAACGGTGGACTTTTCTGATACCCCACCATTATTTATTATTATTTATTTCAACACGTAAATATTGGTACAAGAGGGTACCAATATATATGCGCCACACCATATTTGTGTGTGTGTGTGGGCTGTGATACTGTCCGGATGCCCAGACTGAAGCAGGTGGTAGCCGTGACCAACGATTGGTTCATACGCCATTCGTTCACTCAGGATAATGGAGCCCATATGCACCATTGGTTTGAGATCCGGTTAAAGCGCCGGACATTCGCTTTTCGTCTTCTCATTTTCGTAAACAACACCCTATTAGAGAATGGATCATGTACCATTAAGCCTTGTGATAATAGTCTAACCGACTAAGAAACTAAGTTAACAAACAAAAGTTTGGTATCTATCAACCCAGACAATTCATGCGAATAAATGTGATTATACATTAGAAAATGAAACAACTTTTTTTATTGTTTCTACAGAAAGATATTTACTGACATTTTGATCTGTTATTAATGATGACCTAGTTTTTATGATGAATTATGCATTTTGATCATTTTGTTAATTAGTTCAGCATTAAATGAGTAGAACATTCGAATTGAATGGTTTGAATATGCATATACATATATGTATATTGAGTGTTTCAAAAGGTAAAAGGTTTACTATTAAATAGTCAGATTGATTATCATAATTTAACCATAAATAATTTCGAGCTAATCCAACTGAATTAAAGATCATAATTTTAGATTTGAATAATTGTGAGTTTAAGTGTTTTTTATATTATGCCCTGATTCTTGATTGGCTTCTCTTTGTTTTCTACTTAATAGAATATTATTTTCTGAACATATAGATTGAAAATCTAAATAACAGCATATGTTCGAATGTAATAAAACATTACTGAGAACTGTCATTTGTTTTTGCAATCTCAAGTGGTTTCCTTCAACGCTGTCTACTTTCTCCATTTTTGTTTAACTTCATCATAGACATACTGGTGGGAATAACGCTCCTGTCGATGAATTTTTGATTATAGATCTCCTACCAGGAGGTCCACTTATCGACATACAATACGCAGATGACATAGTCCTGTTTGGAGAGGATGCTGATAAAACGCCGAGTCTTTTGGTAGCACTAAGCAACAATACTAGAATGTTTGGAATGCGCTTCTCCCACTCTAAATGCAAGTTGTTGCTTCAGGACTGGCTTGTGTCAACACATCAACTAAGGATAAGGAGTGACGTAGTCGGACGCGTCGACAACTTCACTTATCTTGGAAGTTCGATCAGCCATAATGGGTTGGTGTCTGACGAGATCTCTGCATGGATTCAGAAAGCTCATTTGGTTTCTACCAACGTACGTCACCTATTGCGAAGGCAAGATATCCGTCTATCAATAAAAGGACGAGTATACTGTGCAGAAGTTCATTCTGTTCCACTTTGTAGCTGCGAAAGATGGCCATTAAAAGTATAAAATGCTCGTAAGTTACTAGTATTTGACGACAGATTTCTTAGAAATATTGCTCTCATCTGCTGGGATCACTGGGTAAGTAATAGTGCGGTTAGGCGCAGCTTACCAGGGAATGATGGTAGATTAGTTGGTGAGGTTGTGAATCTTCATCGACTAAGATGGTTGGGCCACGTGTTACGTATGCTTGAACACCGATTACCACGATGCGCAATGGTAACTAGTGTTGAGGATGGTTGGAAGAAAGTTAGGGGCTGTCCAACCAGAACGTGGCATCAGTGCTTGAAGTCACTAACTTCTAGTCTGAGCCATGTTGGTAGATGTACACTACTTGGTTGGGGTCCACGTGACTATCGTAACCAATGGTTGGAGACTGTGTGTGACATGGCTCAGAATCGATCACAATGGCGTCGGTGTATACACTCTCTGTCTTCCCTTCAACTAAGTGATTAAAATCGCTTCATATGTTTCTTTTTACGAACCAATACTTTCTTTCTCTACTATATTTTTACATGAACCTTTCCTTTATATATTACACCATTAAGTGCCTCTATAAATCCAGTGTTCGTCTTGCTGTGCTAATAAGGTATGGCAACTTGGACTGATGCATATGTGTATTTATCTATTTATTTTAACACATAGATATTGGTATAAGGAGGCACCAAATACATATGAGCCAGACAAATTTCATTCGATATGTATGAGGGCTGTAATACTGACCGGGTGCCCGAAACCGAAGCAGGTGGTTTTCTTAGGGGGCCACACCCAGAGCCTTCGACCTGAAGGTCTGATCCACAAGGCAGTGGAGCATCGTAAGGAGATGCAGTCCCATGGAAGCCGGTGACCAACAATTGGTTCATACGCCATTTGTTCTTTCAGGATACTGGAGCCAGCCCATATGCACCATTGGTTTGGAATCCGGTTAAAGCGCCGGACATTCGCTTTTCGTCCTCTCATTTTCGTAAACAACACCCCCGCCATGAGAAGGCAGTGAGTAGGACTTCCCTGGCAGAGGCTATATACGCGTGGTCATCTGAGAGCATTTCGAGAGGGAGAGAGGACTCTCCCCATTCTCGGCCGTACCAGGGCATTTGGGGGCCATATATGTATGTGCCTGGTCTTACGTTGCATCTGACTGACTGAAGCACCTTTTTCATTCAATTCAATATCAATTAAGGTTTAGTAATTTTCTACATTTACAAACAGTGTACAAGGTAACATTCCATAATATGTGTTACATTTTGGTCATGTTCGTGATGGAATAGTTTCCGTCATTTTTATTTTTCTCCTATCTGATTAGATCTGAATAGATTGAATTCGTTTCAGATTTTGAAATTTGTCCAGTTACTTATCATATTCACAGATATTTTAGTACTTGAAGTGCAACATATTTTGCTCCCGTATTATAACTTTATTTAAGAGTGAAATGATTCTGATTCTGAATAAAATTTAGACTTATTCAGGGATGAAAACAAGCTAACTGGTATTTTCTTGTGCATTATTGTTATATTTATTTATCATTATTTATTAACCTTAATGATAATCCTACTCGCTATAGATACAGTTGAACTAAATCCATCATGACTTTTTATTAAATGTTTAGGAATACAGTGGTCTTGAGTGCTGTTAGAGGTATGAGGGCGGTTATCACTTCCCGGTTACCCACACCGTGGAAGGGTTCTTCCGGTGGTACCTGAAAAGGAAATTGGATTAGAGGTGGTCTTAGTGACCTGAGAGCGTGACTGCAGTGCCCAAGGGACAACTGCTTGACACCGATCACGCACGACCTTTTTATGGGTAATTTTTGTGTTAGCTCCGTACTTGTTGAGACCTTACCGTCGGAGACGGATATCACTGGGATAAAGTGAGGTGTGCATTTTCAGGGTCGACCTTTTCTAACCCCACCCCTCCTTGTGGGAAGGCAGCATCGCTGTCATACTGGTTGTCTGAAGGAAACACCTTACTGCTGTCACACCTCTGTACAGTCAGCAGTACGACTTCGCCTTCGGACCTTGGGTTTGTTGCTTTTAGTCTTACCGCTCTTCAACCGACTTGTCTGACATGGTAGGATCTTGACGAATGGTTGTTCCAGCCAGTATAGCTCGGTTGCTTCATCACGATGGGCAAGCCCGACCACCACGTCAGGGTAGCAACAACGGTCGGGAACGTTTGTTGAATATGTGTAAGTATGTAGAGCTAACGAACCAAGAGCAAATAAATGAATTTATGATAATAGATGCATATTTATGTGAACAGAGACCTATATGGTTAGGAAGGCCTAAAGTCCTGTGAAATATGAGTTATGAAGAAGAGCAAATGTATTTTTTATATACTGATATGTTATTCCTACACAATGGTTTTAGTGGAGATTGTAGTATTTTCAGAGTTGAATCCACGAGCGTATCTAATCTAGACCACCACTCAAGTCCTTGAGTGCTGGACAGCTGTTTCTTTTGGCATAAGACTCCTCAACAGTGTGCATCCACAGCTCTGCACGTGAGACTCGAACTCAGGACCTACGGCCTCGCTTAACCTTTAGACCACTGGACCGTTATCCACCTGTGTTAATGATTAGCTTCAATCTATCCATGATCTTGCGCGAACGGCCGTTCAATACTTCCATGTTTTCAATGGTGATCTAGCTTAGATTAACTCGTGAATTCAACTTTTAAATTGGTTTTTAGTATCATATTAATTCAATTTGTCATACTAATGACAATATTCAATAATAAATAAGATATAAAATAGTAAAAATTGCTGATGTAAAAACAAAATATATCTGTCTAACCTTGAGCACCAGCCATTAGACACTTTAATCCAGTCACCCAAATATTTGCTTCTTCTGGACCAGAAGCTAAAATTTCTAATACAGTAAAATCCGGTCCATAGCATATTGTAAATGCACTAGAACTAAGATTAAGTATTGTTGAATTTAACGATGTTGAACTTTGAATTTGTGGTGACATTGAACCAATAGTTAGAGAATTTGAATTATTTGATGAATACATTTTTGATGCTGATTGAATCAGGCTACCTGATCCACTTGAAGATAAGAACCCATGTGATAATGTTGGAGTCATACTAAGTGGACGTCGTCGACCGAGGGAATGTGTAGTTCTTGAGGAACAGCCTAGTTGTACTTCATGAATTTCTTCAATATCAACTATTAAAAAAAGTAAACAGAGATGAGAAGTTTTACACATAAATGTCTGGATGATGCACATATCCTCTCAATTATCTCATTCCTAGTCAATGTGAATAATTATCTGGGTTTTAGATTAAAACTGATAGATGCATTATCTATTATAAAAATATATACTTTCCATGTTCAACCATTAAGTTATGCATGTTAGGAATTTTTTAAACCCGGAAAATATTATAATACGACAACATGGAAACAATCCTAACAGTTTAAGCATATCGATCAATTAACTAAGTTCAGTATCTAAGTTTCAACAAAATCAATACGTTGAAGGCAAATTAAACAATGTCCAACTAAAGCTGATGTAATTAACGATACTGTTGATGCATTTTTTTTGTTGCTAAAATGATAAACTGATGGATGATTAGAATGAAAGGAAAAAAACACCAATCATTAGTTTAACTAACTAGCTTGTTTTCACCCCTGAATAAGTCTAAATTTTATTCAGAATCAAAAATCATTTCACTCTTAAATAAAGTTATAGTACGGGAGCAAAATATGTTGCATTTCAAGTACTAAATATCTGTGAATATGATAAGTAACTGGTCGAATTTCAAAATTTGAAACGAGTTCAATCTATTCAGATCTAATCAGATAGGAGAAAAATAAAAATGACGGAAAACTATTCCATCACGAACAGGATAAAAATGTAACCCAGATTATGGAATATTACCTTGTGCATTGTTTGGAGATGTAGAAAATTATTAAATCTTAATTGATATTGAATTGAATGAAAAAGGTGCTTCAGTCAGTCAGATACAACGTAAGATCAGGCACATATGTACATCAGTCCCAGTTGCCATATTTCATTACCACAGCAAGACGAACAATCGATTCATAGAAGCAGTTAACGTAATGGTGTATTATATAAAAGAAAGATTGCATATAAGGATATTATTCAAGGAGAAAGAATTAGAAAGAAAGGTATGAAGTAATGATAACTGATCAAACTATATCAATAAAAATTGTGGAAAATAATTGAGAAAGCTATTTAAATTCAATTTAGATGTTGTCATCAATGTGTATAAATAAACTGATATGTAAATATAAATTGTATTTGCTATGGATTGATTGCAGTTTGGAGTTATTTTGAAAACTGGAGAGAATCGGACAGCTATTTTGTCATAGTATGGAAATCCTAAGCACTGTGTACCATGCCAGGTACAAAAACTAGGAACTACACGTTCTTATTGAATGCATAACCAACAGGACTGTATCGGATTCATATGATACATTTCCAAATTCAATGAATTATTGCTTAAATACACTGATGACAACTGTTTCACACCAACGATGAATAGTCACTAGAACTTCAAGAACATCGTAAAGTCACTGATGATCTAACTATAATAGTTTGATTGAAGGGTTTTCTAGAAATAAATTTCGTTTTTAAGGTACATTCATCAATGGAAGAGGTTGGTTGATTAATTTGAGAGTTGTTCAATCATCGAAAATGGTTTTTAATACTAAAATCACTTAACAAAACCATTGAAAATCAAGAATTATTATCATCTGTTGTAAAAGTTCCAAAGGAATAAAGAACAACTTTGCAGTACTGTTAACCTCTTAACCAATTATTACTGAAAATGTCAATTCGTAACAAAAAAGGCATTATAGGTCGAACTACAGTTTGTTATTTAACTAAGCTAAAGCCGATCAGTTTTGAACATTTTATAGCTAAGGACAATTTATCAAATTTTCTTAACTACCCGACATCTTTGATAATCTTAATGCTAGAAAAATAACACTGCATTTATGAGTTTATTGATTTCAGACATTACTATAGTGGATTCCAGCTCAGTAATCTAGAGGTTAAGTATTCATTCTCGAGACCATAGATCATTAGTTTAATTCAGGATCGTGAATGCATGTTGCAAAAAGTTCCGTCTAGTGCTTCTACATTTCGATGGTTGTCTTACATTGTTTTGCGATTTCAGCATTATTCATTATTCTTCACAAGCCTATGTTTACAATTATGTTTCCGTTCTGAGTCTACCAATCAGTTTCATTAGAGGAAATATCTTAACACGGTGACATGGGAATGTTTGAAAACTATTGCTTGAAATTTTATTGTCAAGACACGTTAGACCTTCGTCTTAGATACTAAAATAAACTTTTGTAAGGTTGAAGTATCAATTTTTCAGGTCAAGCTTATTTTTGAAGCTGTACAATTATAGATATATGGTGATTGGTCCTATGTTGAGCCTACATAGCTTATTCTAGCTTCTAGATAAACCAATTTATCCATTCTTCTTAAGCTACATCTTGATCCCTGTTAATTAATCAACCTTGACGGCTTTTATATAAGCGTATGTGTGTTCATTTCTATCTTACTTATCACATGTCTGTAACTATAAATATCGAATCACAACGCTTGGTTAAATCGAGATGGCTTATATGCTTTCTTCACATTCATCATTTCGCTTCGCTCTTTTCTTCGTTTCTCCGATCTTTTGTCTGCATAAACGTTTGTATGAAATAAACCCAATTCGAATTTCATTCTCGTATTTAACTTATTTAATTCCGTTATTCACCAAAGTGATTCAAGTCGATAATAATATACGAGGATTAGCGATATGTATATTCAATAGCAATCAGAAACGATCTAACTGGAATCAGATATAGGGTCACGAAATTGGTTAGCCCGCCGACGACAAACCTAACACAGCAAACTATGTTTATGACAAACCTTACACACTTTATATTTTAAATGAACTCAGCGAAGTCAGTTCAATCGATATGTAACCATACGATCAAATTGGATAAAGACTACGATACCACTAAGAGATTAACAAATAACCATATGTTTAATAGAATTCAGGTTAGTTGTTACATGAAATAGAACTACATAATCTTTAATAAATAAATAATTGTAGATAAAGGAAATTTGTAAAACATAAGCAAAACATATAATTAAAATGGTGAACAGAGTAAACATGATTATCTTTAAGTGGGAATGAAGATATTTGTATGATAATCAAGTAATATGAGTACAAACAATCTTTGTAATAATAATACTAATAATAGAGTAAATAAGAACCATTTCGTTAGGAGTAATATATAAAAAGAAAGAAATGATGAATAAAACTATAAACTAAGGTCATAACAAAAAGAGGGATCTAACAAATGATTTGTGTATATATAACTTAGATCTTAAAATTATCAAAGGTTAAAGTATCTGTGATAGATACCACAGGATTATTTTAATGATGAATATCATATATTTATGTAAGGTATTAAAAGACAGATGATTAATTATAAACTGTTCATTATCAAACTCCGCCTGTATCCATCCGGGAGCTACTGCCGGTCCCAAGCCCGGATAAAGGAGGAGGGTTGGGCATGGGGTTAGCGACCCCATCTCGTAGAAAACTAACTCGCCAAAAAAACGCTTACCAGAACAAATTATTCAAACCTTTTAAACTCTACCCTGTTCATTATCAATCTAAACTTATAAATCTTCTGACTGAGAGCTTGAATCAGTTTCCTAAGCTCTTCTAGTAATTATAGACTAAATCTACGCGACAACCTGAATATGAGAGAAAAGGTACAAAATATGGAAAGAATGCTTTACTACAAGGTTATTTTATTTACAGAAAATCGAGAGTATTTATAACATTTCAGATAGCCTCAAGTTTCTGAAAAGTTCTAAGACCCTATTAAACATAGTAGCAAGATCGGTGATCATGAAATCAGAAACGTGATGCGTAACTCTTCACTTTCTAAATATTTCTGATATACTTTTATTGAATATTGATTAGATAAAATGCTTCTCAGTGCTTTCAGGGCCTCTTTAGGCTTTATTCTATGAATACTCTAAGTTTCCCTAACATAAACAATTTTATTTTATATTTATTACTGAGTATGATATTCCACAGAACAGTGAGAACAAGCTTTCAAATCAGCCTTCAGAAAATATTTATTTAACTACCTACACAACCGGGTCAGTTGTGAGGTAGTAACTCACTGATGACAATGGTGAATGTGTCGCTCAATCTCGTGGATTAGTTAAAGTTAAACATTTATAAAATTAGATGCCGTTTCAGTGGTCTAGTGGTTAAGCGCTCGTGCGTGAGACTGATAGGCCCTGCGTTCGAATCCCGTGAAGCGGAGTTGTGGACGCGCACTTCTGAGGAGTCCCACAATAGGACGAAACAGCCGTCCAGCGCTTCCAGGTTTCCCATGATGATCTAGTTTCAACTAACTCATGATCTCAACTACTGAAATAGATATGCGCGACACAATAACAATGAGACCAGTAGCACATATCATTGATTTGTGTGATATTGCCCAGATACTCAAACTGAAGCATGATTTCTATTCAACCAATCAATTATTTGTATAAATCATTGAATATTAAATAAATTATTAATGACTTGATTAATTATAACAAAATAAGATATTAAAAACATACTATAACACATATTATCAGTTCATTCATTCATTATTATTATGTTTAGTTTGTATGAAAGGATTTTAAACAATGTAGTCATATATACGATTGCATGATTGAAAACCTATTTGATTTATTGTATGTTAACATTGAATTATTTTTTTCCGGTTAGCGTTTTTTTAGCGAGTTAGTTTTCTACAGGATAGGGTCGCTAACGCCATGCCCAACCCTCCTCCTTTATCTGGGTTTGGGACCGGCAGTAGCCCCAGAGGGGCTCCAGGCGGAATTCATCACTCTACAACGACTTAATTGACTACGACAAAGCATTTAGTAGCATGGACAGGAAAACACTATGGAGGCTTCTTCGGAACTACGGCGTGCCTCAGAAGATAGTCAATATCATACAGAATTCCTAAGTTGGATTAAACTGCAAAATCGTGCATGGAGGACAGCTGACAGACTCGTTCGAGGTAAAGTCCGGTGTCAGGCAAGGTTGCTTACTCTCACCCTTTCTCTTTCTCCTAGTGATAGACTGGATCATGAAGACGTCAACATCTGGAGGAAAGTACAGTGGACACCTAGGATGCAGATAAAACATACATTGAGGGAAACACCCAACTGCGTCACAAGGCAAGCCCCTACATGGAATCCCTAAGGCTAAAGAAGAAAAGGAAGACCAAAGAACACATTACTCCGAGAAACGGAGACAGACATGAGAAGAATGAACAACGATTGGATTGAACTAGAAAGAAAAGCCCAGGACAGAGTGTGTTGAACACGGTAGGATAATTAATAATAGAAAGTAGTAAGAAATAATTAGTTTATCACATGTACTGAATTATTTCTTTTTAAATTCATTAGTATATTATATTAAAAAAGACTGATCTAATCTTCTTATTAATGTTATATTCACGATTTGATATCAGTTAACGAATTATTGAAAGCTCTTAGAATTATTGGTAAACATCTGATTTATCTTGATTAAAAATTTCATGGATTGATTGAGGTTAGACGTTAACACTGTTGCATAGAGGCTCAGTGATCTACAAGTTAAGCGTTTGAGTGCAAGACCGAAGGTCCTGAGTTCGAATTATGTGTGCGGGATCGTAGATATCCACTTCTGAAGAGTCCTATATTAGGACGAAACGGCTGTCCGGTGTTTCAAGGTTTTCAATGGTGGCCTAGCTTAGATTGACTCATGAATTCAACTGTTAAAAAATTCTCAATAGCAGTGAATACATTCAGGTCTTCAGTTGGATATCCATTATTTTGCAAATTTAGTTTCAAATAGTTTGTGGGTCAATGTGATATTCTTAGTCACTTTCATGGAATTGATTGCCCGGTATTTGAGTCGAAGCGAAACATTATGTAATTAGGCAATATATATGGCTTAAGAAACAATTGAAAAGAATTCGCTGCAAATAAACCAATCTAATAACTATTAATCCAAATGATCACGAAATGTCTGACATGAATTAAACAGACCAATTTCATTCTTTAATGGAACGCTTTCGTTCTTGTTGTGAGGCCTAAAGAGCATCCGTTTAACGTTGACTAATTCTTAATTAAATGAAATACAAAAGTGAATATATGGGTAAAACTTTGTTTACAGTATAAACTGTAATTCTAAACTCTATAAGATTGACTTATCAATATGATGTATAAATTTAGTTTCAGTAGTTGAGATCATGAGTTAGTTGAAACTAGACCACCATGGGAAACCTGGAAGTGCTGGATGGCCGTTTCGTCCTATTGTGGGACACCTCAGAAGTGCGCATCCACAATATCGCCACGCGAGATTCGAAATCAGGACCTATCAGTCTCGCGCGTGAACGCCTAACCACTAGACCACTGAGCCGGCATCCAGTGGTGTTAATGTTTAGCTCCAACTAATCCACGAAGTTGAGCCACCGTTCACCATTGTCATCAGTGAGTTACTATCTGACAACAGAATTGGTTGAACTCCACAGATCAATTGAATCATGAATTCAACTGTTAAAATTACTATAATATTCACAAAAACTCGTTTCTGATTATAAGTTTTTATTGTATGATTTTCTAATGTGATTTCAGATAGAATAGTTTGAGTAAGTATTCCTTTAATGCACTAATTAGCTATAATTCATATTTTATAAATTGAATTAATCTTAACTTTTTAATTCAAATCGACCTGAACATATATTCACTTGGGATACATATAGGTTAATTAGGAACAGATCGATTAACATTTAGAATATCAGCAAAGGAAAAGTTGGAGACATGATTAATTACAAGTCATTAAAATACTCAAGTAAAGTAAAAACAGTTCGTCAATTATTTATCATACAAACTCCTCTTGGAGTTCCCTGCGGGGCTACTACTGGTCCCAAGCCCGGATAATAAAGGGGGGTTGGGCATAGGGTTAGCGACTCTATCCCGTAGAAAACTAACTCGCTAAAAAAACGCTAACCAGAAAAAATTATTCAAACCTATTTATCATTTATTTATTTAAACACATAAACATTGGTACAAGGATAGATATACGCCACATAAATCATTCGATTTGTGTGAGGGCTGGGATACTGCCCGGGTGCCCAGACCGAAGCAGGTACCTATTTATCATACATAAGTTTGATAGTTGAATTTTGATTGAAGTCTAATAAATGTACCTTGTTAACCACGAACAAGAAAATCAATGCTTAAATAAATCTACTATCAGTATAGGGATATGTGGAGATTGCATTATTTTATGATTGAATTCACGAGTCCATGTTTTTGTTTGATGACATAGGCAATGGACCTTTATCTCAACTTGCTCATCAATACCGAGATGTAAGGATACTTTTCTGAACAGTCCCCAATAGAATGAAACGGACTGGTAGAATTCAAATGTCAAAAGGTTATTTCAAAGTAATCCTCTCACTATGTCAATATATGCCAAGAGACTGATCAGTTTCAACTTTAAATATAAACAACAAATCTTTAGGATCCTGTATTAACAGGTCTATAAGTCTAATTGAGTGATAATTATATGGTCATTAGTAGTTGATCTATGAGATATATATTTCTATATGAGGACAAGAAATCAGGACCAATGAAGTTAGTCAAGATGAGAATAACACATTAAATCATAAAATACATTTGGTTGAAAATCATGCTAAAAATGTTTAAAGGTAGAATTTGTCTTAGAAATCTAACTAACCGTTATCAACACATAAGTTAGAGGACACAAGATCAATTCTATTTTCAGGTTTCAAACTAAAAACGAATCACCTGTTTTAACTTTATTTATTTTAATAGTGAATGAAGATTTTTGAAGAAAAAAACTACATTCATATCAAGCTAACAATTCTATCCAGGGCTTCCAGGTTTCCCATGATGATCTAGTTTCAACTAACTCATGATCTCAACTATTGAAATTAAATTTATAAATTTCTAGATTTATGATCATATGTAGCATTGGGGAGACCCGAAAAAAACTTCTCGAAAGAACCCTGAAGGTGCAATGAAAACACCGGGAAACATTCTATCCAGTCAGCATTTAATAGAAGTATCTCAGAAACGTCTAGAAAGTGAAGAGTCAAGTGTCACTCTTTTGGTTGGATGATCACCTATTCTGATACTGTGTCTAGTAGGGTTCCAGAACCATTCAGAAGCTCAAGACCATCTGAAATGTTATAAATTCTCTCGATTTTGTGCACATAAACTAACTTTGTAGTAAAGCTCCCTTTCCATATTTTATACCTTTTCTCTCATACTCAAGTTGTCGTGTAGATTTAGTCTAGGATTACTAGAAGAGCTTAGGAAACTGATTCAAGGGCTCAGTCAGAAGATTTGTCATATAGTTTCAAGATTTTTATTTTATTTAACTGAAATTGAAACAGTTCAAATACTTTATGAATGGCAATCTATGAATGTTTATCTTTTTTAAACAAGTTAATTATATTGTAGTGATTGGTACTGTGTCACCTTCTGGACAGACCGATTTATTCATTCTTTTCAAGTCACATTTTGACCTTGTCATTTGTTCCTTTATTAATGGGCGTATATGTGTGCATTGTATATATTACTCATCATATCTCTAGCTTATTTTTTTATGGCTATAAATATTGGGTCTCAATTGATCAAAACGAGTTAGCTAACTCGCCTTCTCCGTATTCGCTTTCCCACTTCTCATTCTCAATGTCTGTCTGGATAAACTAGTACTTGAAATAAATTCCTTCAACTCAACTCGTATTTGGTTTCTTATAACCATCGTCTCATAAACAGGATTAGCTTAGATATAAGATACGGAATGTTTGTACGATCAAACTGAAATCAAATAGCCGGTTATAATGATTATAAAATAACAATATTGAAATTAGCTTTAAATTAAAATCTACTTACTTTGTGAATTTGATTGACGTTTATTTGTTGAAGACCATTTAATACAATTCATTTGTTCATTTAAATAAAACATACGTTTATATTGACGTCCACTAGTATGTAGTTTAATCATTTCACTACCTTTACGCATATAAGCAAAACAATCGGATGCTATAGAATAGAATTAAGAAATAATTAAATAAGATGATTTAAACCAAATTGTAAATGAGAGTTTCACATTGAACATATAAAAACAAAAATGTAAGTTTGATATGATTATCATGTACTATGCAGTGTGATATTATTTAACTAAGTCTGTTTTTGACCACATAGTTACAGTTGAGTTATTGTTCTGTAAAACAAAAGTAAATAAGTCAGTTAACAGTTTTTCAGTAATGTGTAGTGTCAGTTACTAAGTTAAGCCCATATGCCTTATTCTAGCTTCTGAACAGGCTCCTTAATGCCCTGATACGGCTAAGAGAGGGGAGAGTCAACTCACCTTCTCGAAATGCTCTCACACGGCCACGTACATGTAAAAACTAATAGGGATGCCCTACTAACTGCCTTCCCGCAGCATTACTGTTTTTTGCGAAATTGAGAGGACGAGAAACGAATGTCTGGCGCTTTAACCGGGTTGGCGGACACAGACAGTTCACCTAAGGGAGTTGGAAAACCCTGATTCCAAACCAATGGTACACATTGGCTCCAGTATCCTGAAGGAACAAATTGCGTATAAACCAATCGTTGGTCACTGGCTACCATGTGACTGCATCTCCTGACGTCGCTCCACTGCCTTGTGGATTAGACCTCCAGATCGAAGGCTCTGGATGTGGCCCCCTAAGAAAACCACTTGGTTCGGTTTGGGCACCCGGGAAATATCCCAGCCCTCACATAATCGAATGATTTATGTGGTGTATATCTATTTGGTGCCTTCTTGTACCTATATTTATGTGTTTAAATAAATAGGTAAAAACAGGCCAATTTATTCATTTTCCTTGAGCCACACTTTGACCTTGTTAATTATTTGCTTATCAACCTTGACTGTTTTCTATATGTGTATATATGTGCATCTCTTATTTTATTTATCATATGTCTGTAACCTATTTTTATCTGGTTATAAATATTGATTAACGCTTGATTAAATCAAGTTGGCTAACACGTCTTCGCCACGTGTTCTTTCGTTTCACTCTCTTCTGTTCGTTTCATCCCTCGGATTGTTTGTCTAAATCGTATTTGGTTTATTTAATTCCATTATTCACTAACAAGAGTTAAGTCAACAACTATGTAAAAGGATAACCAAGATGTATATTTTGACAACAATCATTCATACAATATAACTGGAGTCAGATCATGAGTGACTAAAAATGGTATCACTCACTCTACGTCACTAAACCTAACATTATTACATTATTAAATTCCAAGTCATTTTCACCTATAGCTCCACATTAGCGATGAAGATTATCTCAAAGGATCAAAGATACAGAATGTGTATCACTTTGCAAAAATAGTCAATAATTTCGTGAATTGATACAACACCTTGACTTGACTACTTCTCATTTAATTTAAACAAATTTGTATACTAAAAAAATTTGATATTTTATGCTAGGCACCAAATGAACCATAGTAGTATATGTAACAAACACTACAGTTAATTAATAATCATAAAATTAACATGGTACAGTTGAACGTAAGCAAAGGTTTGAAGATATCACATAAGTTTTTAGAGAACTTATTAGGTGATACTTATGAATAGTGTACAGTTATCACAATCATAGAAGCAAAAAAGAATCATAGTCCACTAATGTATAAGTCAACAATATACTATGAATATTCTAAGAACACAACTATCTGATCATAACCCATAATTTCCTAAATCAGTTAATCGGAAACTCTAAAGCAAGACAGAAGGGGTTTTTGTAGATATTATAGTAATTTCAACAGTTCAGATCATGAGTCAATTAAAGCTAGATCACCATGTTAAACCTGGAAGCACTGGACGGCCGTTTCGTCCTATTCTTGGACTCCTCAGAAGTGCGAATCCATGATCCCACCTCGCGAGATCCGAACTCAGAACCCATCGGTGCCGCGTGTGTAAATATAATAATGATGTTTATAAGATTTTACAACAGCTTAACACAAAATGATTAATATTTATAAAAATTTCCTTTTCTATATTCATTCATTCATTCATTCATTAAAACGGATCATACTAAATGTTATGAATAAAAGACTATGATAAAAACATTTCCTTATGAACATAATTTTGTACTTAGCAACTACTTATGTAGAAATGATAGAAAAAAAATACAACTATATGAGATTCACTTATAGATATGTTTGATTTTTCCTTATTCAATCTACGATTTGCATAAAATACCAAGTTACAATTCATGTTTAAGCATTCATTAGTTATTAGTATACAGTGAGAAGTTTTGAACTTGGGTTTTGTATTACATTCCATTTGTCAACAATGGAATTGGTGCTAGATATGCTATGAAATGTCACCATCAGAGACGCTAACATAAACCTCAATAGTTTATTTATTCAAGAACTATTTTACCTGAGATTAACAAAGTTAACAAATACTCTGATAATAGCTGAATAATATACCATTTATATACAATTGAATTTTATGAGTAATTATTTACCGTTTGTAACCAGAGATGATGGTACCTAGCAGTGGAATCCAGAACACGCGTTTCGCCCCATTTGGGATTCATCAGCTGGATGTATCTATATCCCAAAGTTGATATTCACTTCGGGACTGGATCCGATTTTTGGGTTGAACTCCGGGATGCAAGCACACCCAGCCGACGAGTCTCAAATAGGACGAAATACACGTCTTGTATCCCACCGCTAACCATCATCATCTCTGCTTATAATGATTGTGACCTTAGGCAATATCGAGGCACTCCGCATAGGATACACATATGTCTATAAGAGGCTGATCAATTACATCCCTAAGCATTAAAGGGAATAGTCAAACTGTGGTAATCGGATGTAGAATACCTGTCAGCAGAAGATTGAATTGAAGAGAACAGGAAGAGGAACAGAGAGCAATTGTAATAAAAACTGAAGTGAAAAAAAACATGAATCATGTAAGGACAACTGAGGGGAAGATGCGCAAATAACGGATTTAATGTATGGTTTTCACATTTTACGACGGCATTGTAATTTTACATTTAACAATAAATGTGTTAAACCTGACCATGCCTTTGTTCATTGTAAAACAACTAAGATTGAATGACTGAACTGACTGGTTAAATGACAGTTTTTTAATCCTTCTTATATCAATAACAAGGTTGGACTTGATAGTTTTGTGGTGCATGCTACTTATGTCGACACAAGTAGTATATAACACTAGTCAGAAGTGGAATACCTGGCAGCAGAAGGCTGACAAGGTCGAATCAAAGAGAACGGGAACAAAAAGTAATTGTTGTGAAACAGAGAGTAATCGTTGTGGCAATGAAATAACGATGAAGTTTGAAACAATTGATGAAGAAATTGCAGATGAAGTATTGAGTGCATAGTTTTCACATTTTATTGAAGAACTCTGTAACTTTGTGTTTACAATACATTTGGTTGTCCCCATATGTGTTCCCGTTCACTACAGTTTATTAAACAAAATAAGCATTGGATAAGAAGTTTATGATAAATATAATTTTTGTTATATCCTAATGAGTAGTTTAAACGGTTACTATTCAAACTTGTGCTAATTTAATTCTGTTATTTATTTACGTTGCAGAAATCGCTTACATTAAGTCACAAAATGTCAGAAACGCAGTATTCTATTCACTGGGATATAACAAGAAATATATTTATTATTGTGATGTGTGGGCGAGAATGATTGGTTGTTCAATTAGATAGGTACTAGATGAGTTATATTATATTCTCCTAACATTACTATTATTGTGATTGTTGTCAGTTTCTGGTGTGGAAGTATACTTACGTTCTAGTCAATCTAGTCACATGTTCTTGATCTGAGTTATGTTGAAGTTCTGTAGAATGAATGGATACTGAAAGGAAATCTAGTGTAAATATTCGTCTAAGGCAAATTAGCGTTCCATTCGTGTAAATGGGGAAATTCGAGTATTATAACATATTGTTTCTCAAATGTTTACAACTAGGTTAGTTTAAACAAAAAGCAGTTAAATCTCTTGATTACCTACAGGAAATTGTTGTATTTTGTCATAATCATAGTTACTATCTTCAGTACCATATGCTCGATTGATATTAAGGAGAATTTACAATATTGTGACAAATTCCTATCTTATGTGCAAATATATATATAGTAAGAGAGATGTTTTTACGCATTCAGTTGTTGTTTATCTTTTGTTGGCAAACGTTTTAGTCAAATCTGCCACTAAGATATTTTTTTCTTGATGAATTGTGTTAGATGTATGAATTTCAAAATAGATGCCTATAGTTTCTTCAAGGAATAAACTAAAAGCAATATGTTATAACAATTAACATTCTTTAGATTAAACACTGTGAAATTATGTATGCTTTTTATGATAGTCATTCAAGTACATTTTACAGTTGTAGTAGATCAGTCCAAGATTTCATTAAAATTCAACAACCTCCGAAACTCTATACTTACAATTATTATGTGCTCACTAGAAACTAGCTTTGACATGAAATTTGAGGAGTTCTAGTGAAAAGCCCTGACAAGTGGAATTAAACCGTGTCGGATGGGATGTTGTTATCTAATGAAGCCAGTAGAAGATGGTCACACAATGTCTAGGATTGGTTAAAGTTAGACATTAACATCGTTGGATACCTGCTCACTGATCTAAAGGTTAAGAGTTTGTGCGTGAGACCGTAAGTCAATGGTTCGCTTAGCGTGTTTAGGGTCGTGATTACTCGTTGCTGATGATTCTTATACTAGAACGAAACGGCTAAATAGTGTTTATATTTTTTCAATGGTGTTCTAACTTAGATCATTTAAGTAATATAATGAAATTCAACAATCTCCACAACTTTATACTTACAATTGTAGCTATTCATTAGTAATAATATACAAACAAGACACGACGATAAGTTCGAATTCAAAGTTAGCGGTATAGTATTATATATATATGTCAATTCTATCGGATCGTCTTAAGGGCTTATCATTTGCAATTATCTACAAGATTTCAAGTAAACAAAGTGAATAAAAAAACTGAAGTCTG